TGATCAATTTATAAATGTTATAAATAAAGATAATAGTCACATAAAATAATTTAATCAATTACCATCATTCACTACTTCGTTGCTATCATGTCGTTAAACTAATTCTCAATGAATAAACCAATTCACCAAACGAGCATCAGTGTCATGATCATCCTATCAACCTAATACTCAATATATTTTTCATGATAACAATAAATCATCGAGGATTTAACAAGATAGCTTTCAAATCAACATGCTTACTGGGGTAAACAACCATTGATTTTCAATTAACATATAAGAATAATATTCTTTCTACCTCAACAATTCCTATAAGAGTGCTTTCTTCTTTAACTAAGTTTTATTTTTCATATAAGAAAAAATTTATATCTTTCTCATACATTAATAAAACATGCGCCGATCTAAAGCATTATAATTAATGCAAAGTTGTAGTTTATGACAGCAATGCATGTTTCATTTGATTTGATAACATAATTATGCAATTAATCTATTGGTCAAATTTAAATAATATAACGAGTAAATTGCACTTACGGTTATATCTTACGGAAAATGTTGATACGACAAATTCGAGGCTTCATTGTTGTAATCCTTACGAGAATGCAACAATACCAAATATCAATCAGTGTGTCATCACATTTTCCGTGAGACATACATATCATCAGTTATTTTCCTATGATTATGTTTCAAGAATATCGATAGATCTACATTATCTAAATTGTGTCACAGTTTCTTATGAGTATATCTTCCTTTCAAGGTAATCTAAAGATCTGCCAGATCTATAATGTGAAATCTTCACTTTTTAGCTCATCAAAAAGATGAGGACTATGTTGGATGGTTTTTTCAACTTATAAATCTCATATTTTGGTCTTTTATAGTCAAATAGACATCGACATCTAATAACCATGATAAGTAATCCTTTCATATAGATTTATTTTATTTTATGATTTAAACGAAGAATATGAATTTGAACATGTAATCTTGTGCAATAAACTTGTCATGAGTTAACATTAAAATGTTAGATTACAAATACATTTGCCATACAAGCAATCTAAATCATTTTAACAAAATTATCATCAAACTAATTATGTTCAATTATATATATTTTTTTAGTCACAACAGAAGATTTCATTCAATATCAAATAGCGTTTACAACGGTTTCAAGAACCGCTAAAGCATTTTTGGCCAGAGCATCGGCAATAACATTGTCCGTGCGTGGGATAAACTCAAACATAATTGAGTGAAAGGAAGATGATAATTCTCTAATATCATCTAAAATAGTTTGGACTTGATTATGGGGCTCGTTGTCTTTGATGAGCTTTATCAAGTTGAAGGAATCAGAGCATAATTTGATCTCCCAAATCCCTAGCTCCAAAGCTGAGAAAAGGCCTGCTCGTAGGGCCCAAGCTTCCGCCGCTAGAGCAGAGGCCACCGCCGATTTGGAGTCGGAGAATTGGGAATCTGAGGCATTATCTCCGGAGGAAATCGTCCATCCCATTCCACAGTTTGAGGAAGCTTGATGCCAATCGCCATCTACACCCATGGTATGATTGAAAATAGAGATTTGAGGCAGTTCCCGTGAGTATTTGTCCGTCTCCGGACCACTGTTGGTTCGTTTGCTTCCTGCCAAGCCCGAGCATCATTTTCAATTATATTCTTATAAATGCAAGTATATAATATGCTTAACTATATGCAAACCATGTGTATTACTTGTAAACAACATGAAAGATGTTTTTATCTTTTGACAAGTAAATTTTAACTTCTTATGATCATTTAGTTTCAAGCCAAATATTGATAAAGTATAGAGACTACTTTGCATAAATGAGGTTTTCAAGGCATATGAAAACATATGGATCTCGTGTTATCTAAATATTTATTTTTCAGAAATACCCACAAAAATATAGGTTAAGAAGGAAGTGATTAGATATTGTATCGTTTAGATTTTCAGAAAATCATTTGACCAAACTATAACTTTTATGATACACAAGATCCAAATCAATGGCGAGTGTAGAGCATACTTGGTTAAACGAATATATTTATTTAAGATATACTAACATACCTTGTAAAGCTCAAATAGTAGAGACTCGTGCTGATAGCGTGTTATCAATATAGAAGAGATGGAAGTAAAACTTGTATTTGTTATATTGTTGTTGTGTTATATTTACAAGAAATAATGATCTCCTTTTATAAGGAGAATATAAAGATAGTAACATACATGAATTTACTACAAGATTATGTTACTTGTATGAGATGTTACTTTTAGTAGATATTACATGATTGACATCCATCAATGGTTTCATAACAAATTCTAATAATATAGATTAAAATTATTTTTAAAAATGTTTTTTTTTCTAACAATACTCCTTTCTCGTAAATTTGAAATGTAATTAGTAGTTTAAAGGAATTTACAACATTTTTATGACTATACTCTATAGCCATATAATTTAGAGATAGGATTCCTTAGAGATATCTTTAATTATCACATTTGGGAGGATTCTATATTCCAGTATAACAAGTAGTTGACTGCGCCATGTCGTTGACTACTAGATCATAAAAAGAAATTCCCTTCTCTCTCTAACCTTTTCTTTCTCTCTAGAAACCATTTGTTGCGTCTAATCTCCTTTGTCGATCTTTGTTCTTTTTGGCCGTGGTGTTTGTTGTCTTTCCGGCGACGACACCATGTTTGTATATATGTAAATAAACTTGATTTTCCTTGCGTTTTGCATCGACTAATGGTTGTAGTTTATTGGAGATGTCGAGAATCTAGATCTCATCTCAGTGGAGGATCTAGTAGAGATGTTGATGATAGCTTCGATCCGTTTGGGTGGTGCACAAGTAGGATGAATCGAAGGCTTCGGTTTGGTGGTTTCGAAAGGTTTTTCGTTGTGTTGAGGAGGAATCTGAATAATCTCTCACAAGCAGTCTTGAATAACGACGGAGGAAGCTTTCCAGAGGCAGATCGAAAAATCGTTGCCGGCATAGATTCAATCACCGGTGATGTTGTTTTCCGTGTGGAGGAGATTTGCCCACGTGGCGTAGTTATGTCCACATATTGCAATACGGAAGTTTCTAGCAAATCCAAAATTGGGCTTGGGCCAAGACTTAATTGGGAGAGATTAATTTGGCTTTCGTTCTTTTGTAATAATATTAGTGTAATGGTTCTGTATGATAATCTATAATATATAAGTATGTCTGCTCTTGCTGTATTAGTCGGAGATTACTCACTAGGATACATCTCCCATGGTAACGTCTCGATTCGGTTTTTACCGAATTCATGGGATGTAGTGGGTTTCTCCGAGTCTGGTTGTTGGGACGGCGTCAGACTATGTAATCCCGTTAGTTGTGATCTCACTTTGCGGAATCAATTACCTTTCTCCTGTATGAGATGTCATCTACCCTGTAATGTATTTTGTATTTCTCTCTGTGGGATGTGTGTACTTCTAATTGGGTTATTTCTCTGATTTAATATAACAAGTTGGCCG